GTGTGTGTGTGTGTGAGTGTGAGTGTGTGGTGTGGGTGTGTGTGTGTGTGTGTGTGGTGTGTGTGTGCGCGCGCGTGCGTGCGTGCGTGCACGCGCAGATGTGTATGCATGTGGACACCCGAGGTTGACATTAGTTGTCTTCTTTGATGGATCTCCTCTCTATTTATTGAGGTAAGCTTCCTGACTAAACCCAGAGCTCACTGGTTCTGGCTATCCTGGCTATCCTGGCTTGCTCTTGGGATTCCCTGCCCTGTGCCTCACAAGGGCTGAGTTGTAGGAAGCCACCATGCCTGCCCACCTGAGGAGCGGAACTCCAGACCTTAGACTTTAGCTGCTGAGCCACCTGTCTACCTCTGGTGCTACTTCTAATTAGGATTTGTAATTTATGTTGCTGAGGCCAGTCTTGAACTCATGAATTCAAGCAGTTCTCCCACCTTAGCCTTCTTAGTGCAGAGGCCAAAGCATAGACCCTACACTGGCTCTAATGGAGATTTTAAAGAGTTGCTAAGAAAGATAGTTATGGCCAATATAAATAATATCAAAGAATTGTTTTTTAAAAGAATGAGGAAGGTCGGGTGGTGGTGGCGCACACCTAATCCCAGCACTCGAGAGGCAGAGACAGGCGGATCTCTATGAGTTCGAGACCAGACTGGTCTACAAGAGCTACTTCCAGGACAGCCTGCAAAGCCACAGGGAAACCCAGTCTCAAAAAACCAAAATAAAATAAAAAGATAAAAGAATGAGGAGAGCCAGGCATGATAGCACACACTTTTAACCCGGCACTCGGGAGACAGACACAGGAAAATGTCTGAGTTTGAGACCAGCCTGGTCTACATAGTGAGTTCCAGGCCAGCCAAGGCTACACAGTGAGACCCTATCTCAAAGCAAATAAAAAGATGAAGGAGGAAAAGTTGTTAACATCGCCCTAAAAGCAGAGTGTTTCCTTTTTGTTCTTTAGGGAGACACTGTGCTCTCCTGGCCTACTGTAGCCTTCTCAACTTGTTCTACATTTTTAGGTATACTGGATTCATCCTGCCATGTCTGGGAGTTCACCCAGTTCAAGAACTTTCACCAGAAGAACCAAGAAGTGTGACATTAAAGGTAAAAGTCATGTAAAATAAGAGCCATAAAAATGATAACTGTTGACTCTGTGATCACCCACTGTGGACAGAAGTTTCTGTCCCACCCCATCCTGCGGCCGTTCAGTCTCAAATAATCACACAGAGGCTTATATTAATTATAAATGGTTTAGCCGATGGCTCAGGCTTCTTATAGGCTACTTCTCTCTTAATTATTAACCCATTTCTATTAATCTGTGTATCTCCATGTGATCTTGGCATACGGGTGATGCCAGGACCTCTTGCTTCCTCAGCAGCTACATGACGTCTCTCTGACTCCGCCTACTACCTTTCTTTATCTGTTTGGATTTCCCGCCTGGCTAAACCTTGCCTGTCCATTGACCGAAACAGCTTTATTCATCAACCAATAAGAGAAGCATATATTCACAGCATACAGGAGGACATCCCCTATCAACCTCCACACCCATGTCTAATTTCTATGCTTTGTGATGAGGAAGGGAGCGCTGAGGATTAGTGCCTCAGGCATGCTAGGCAAGCATCTCACCACTGAGCTGTAATCTCGGCTAAATGTTTTTTTTCCGAGACAGGCTCTCACTGAATTGCCCAGGCTGGCCTTGAATCCATAATCCTCTTGGCTCAACTTCCAAACTGTCAGAATTGCAACCTGTGCCACAGCCCAACTGATTTGTATTCTAAGTGAATAACCCCAAACAAAGAAACAGCACCTTCCACCAACTCAAGATTGTACGACAGGATGGCACAGTGCAGTTAGGGTTTCTTTCTTCCATATGTTTTAACTGTGTCATGCTGTTTTGTCCATTTAAAAAAAAAAAAGTGACAGAGTGCTGGGGAGATGGCGGGGTCAGAAGAGTGCTGGATGCAGAGGTGTGGTGACCTGAGTTTGAATAACCCTGAGTGATGGCAACACCTCAGTGCTGGGGAGGTGGAGACAGGAGGATGCTTGGGGATTAGAAAGAGACCAATGAAAAAAGAACAAAGGGAATATGGCAACAACCACTGTATGGAGGAGGCAGAGCCATGTTTGTGATGACCGCCCACATCTTCCCGCCCACCCCAGGGACTTCAAAACGGGGTTTCCACTTCAGGTCCCTCCAAACCTGTGCAGAGGGTGGGGCTGTAGCCAGAGCCTGTGAGGATGGATGGTCCTACTCAGATTTCTAGTTAGAGTTGCTGACATGATAGAGACGATGGCTCCTATGTCATAGGTTGGCTAAATGAATTCAGTTGTGTGAAGCACCCGTGTGGCAGAGGGCCTGGCACACACTCTGAAATGAGGGACTATTATTCCTGCTCTCAGCATTAACACTTTTTTTTTTCCTCGCAGGATTTGGATGTAGCTTTGCCTATTATTGAGAAGTACAAGGATCGGTTGTTGGCAATTGGAGAGGTGAGTCCGCTTGTTGATCAGATGATGTCTAATGCAGATCTCCATGGGATACATGCAGTAATCAGTACTAGTGATTTAACCAGCGTGGACAGTTATTTCCACTCTGTTCAGCCTGCTGATAACTCAGTGCTATTGGGAATGAGGCCGGGGAAAGCCTTACTCTAGACTTACCTTGATAAGAGAAGTTGATGTAATAACATTTCTAAAGACTTGGCTTTCGCTTAAGCTTGGCCATTGCTCTGAGAAGCTAAAACAGCCTGTAGAGGCAGGGCCAGTGAAACGGTTCAGCAGCCAGAAGCACTCACCACCAAGCTTAAGGCCCTGGATCCATGTGATGGAAGGAGAGAACCGACTCCTGAGAGTTGTCCTCTGACCTCCACGTCTGCTCTGTGGCATCCACGTGTGCCTCTCCACCCACGAAATGTAACTTTAAAACGACGACAGTGCTGGGCCCACACCTTTAATCCTAACACTTGGGAGGCAGAGACAGGCAGATCTCTATGAGTTTGGGACCAGCCTGATCTACAGAGTGAGTTTGAAGACTGCCAGGGTGGCTATACAGAGAAACCCTGCCTCAAAAAACAAAAACAACCTTTCTAAGTAGCATAAAGATATACTTTAATCTTGAGTTTGTGTTTAAAGACCGTGTTACTTAAATTATTAGTAATGGTAAGGAGTTTTTATCACGGTAGAAATCACTGCTTCCTACTACATAGAAAATATAAGGAAACACATTCTGAATAGAGGTCATAGAATACGTGCCCAGGTAGCCTCTATGGGAGTGGTCACCTGTGGTCACGACAGAGCCATGCAACCTTTGACGCTTCATCATGCGTGCGTTAGGTGACTGCAGTGACCAGTGTGACTTTGGAAAACTTGCAGGTGTGTGACATACACAGTGAGTTTTAAGAATTGAAGTACCCCACAAGAGGAATATAAAACAAACTTAGAAGTTGGGGTATGTCATATATACTATTAAAGTTACTTGTATGTACTTTGGCTAATATTTTAATCTAGGGAATATCTGTGTGCTGAATGATAGTCTCTTTGGGCTTATCACACATGGAAAGGTAGTTATCTTTTGTCTTTCTGTTACAGGTGGGGCTAGACTTCTCCCCCAGATTTGCTGGCACTGAGGAACAGAAAGAAGAACAAAGACAGGTCCTGATCAGACAGGTCCAATTGGCCAAAAGACTAAATGTGCCTTTGTAGGTGAACTGTCTTTCTGCTCAGACCTACAGAGCAAATTCCATAACAGCTGGTCCTCTTGAAATGAGTTCCATCTCTCTTCCCATCTGAGCTATTTTTTAAAAATTCATTCTCTATGTGTGTGGTGTTGGCCTGCATGTATGTCCCTGGTCCATGTGTGTGCAGTGCCTATGGAGGCCAGAAAAGGGCATCGGATCCCCTGGAACTAGAGATACACTTATTAACCTGCTGTTGCCATTTGGGTGCTGGAAACAAACCATGCCCTTTGCAAGAGTAGCTGAGCCATCTCTCCAGCCTCCTGAATTATTATTGTTAAAACAACAAAAACAGTATTTTCCTATTTAAAAGACTTCAAAGGAATTTTGTTGTTGTTAAACAGAAACGTGCACTCACGCTCAGCAGGAAGACCCACCATCAACCTCTTACGTGAACAAGGTACATATGTTCCTAGTATTCAAGCTTCCCAATTCCAACTGAAGGTTGAAGGAGCAAGTGTGTGTCATTTGACTCCTTAAATAGAAGGGAATGCATCTAGAGTAGAGGTAAAAATAATCCACTAGGATGAGTTTATATGCCAGACTAATATTCACAAGGTTGTTTTGGTGCAATTGTGTATTTATCAGGCTCACCTAGAGCAAATGAAAACTTGAAGCTCTAATTTTTTATTTTTCTTTAGATTTTCCGTTAGATTTATTTATTTTTTATTTTATGTGTGTGAGTGTTTTTCCTGCATATATGTATGTTCCCTGCATGTGTGCCAGGTGTCCTCAGAGGCCTAAAGAGGGAAGGCATCAAGATTGTTGTGCCATGGAGGTTTTGGGAACCGAACTCAGGTCCTCTGCAAGAGCAGCAAGGGCTCTTGACCACATAGCTATCCCTCCAGTCCCTGGCTCTAATAAGAAAGGGAAAATAAGGCAAGAAGGACAGTCTGATTGCTCACTGTGTTTTTCTGAATGTTTTCTGTGTTTTGCTTCTGGGGCCAGATAATAGAGGAGCTTGTACCCAAGCCTGATGACCAGAGTTCAATTCTCAGATCTCATAAGGTAGCAAGAGAGAAACAAGTCTCTAGAGCGCTGTCCTCTGACTTCTGCCATGGTACCTAGGTGCTCGCACAAGCACATATGTAAATAACAAAAGAAGACAGTGCTGTGCAGCAGGCTGTGGCCATCATGTGTCTGACAGATTACAGTCACCTGCTCTGGACTTTCTTGACATGAACATAATTTACAGCACTCTTTTCCAAAGTTTAAAATGCCATGTACAATAAGAGATACACCTTATTTTTAGACTCCTATGTGCATAAAAAGCTGTCAGACATTGAACAGTGTGTGTATATGCACAGATGTGTTTAGTCTACAGTTGTGTGTTTACAGAAACACACATTGGTTGATTGGGACCTACAAAATAAATTTTACAACAAACTTAAGATCATAATGAAGGGGCTGGAGAGATGGCTCAGCAGTTAAGAGTGCTGACTGTTCTTCCAGAGGTCCTGAGTTCAATTCCCGGCAACCACATGGTGGCTCACAACCACCTTGAATGAGATCTGGTGTCCTCTGCTGGCATGCAGGCAGAAGACTGTATACATAATAAATAAATAAAAATCTTTTTAAAAAAAAGAATCATTAGAAGAAAAAAAAAGATCATAATGAAGATTCACACTATTTGAAAAAACAGATGATGAAATAATGGCGCTTTCTGCAGCTAGAGGTGTGGTCACTGATGTATTCCTCAGCAATGAGCACTGAGCCCTTCCAGAGCACTGAATGCATGGTTTTTATGCAGGTTAAACAGCTGTCCTTAAGAGCTGGACTTGGTATGGAAGAGTGTACCTTAGGGCTATTGCAACACACACACACACACACACACACACACACACACACACACACACACACACACAAAAAAAAAGGACAGGGATTGGTTTTATGAGCCAAGGCCTGTTAAATTTGTGAGTCCATTTTTTTTTTCCAACTAGCATTTCTGTTAGGAAAATGAGTTTACCTAAAATCTTCCTATCATGAGCAGTAATATAATAGTTGATAGAAAGGTCTGGTGGTGTAGATAGTTCAGATGGCTGTTTTAAAAACTGTGTTTCAATGATAAATATTTTATCCTGAAAATTAAAATCTCATTTCCCCTCCTTTGAATACTGCATTTGTATTGCAACTTTAGGAGTTATGGAATCTGATCTTTATGTCATGGTGGTAAATACTTACTAAGTTCAGATCTGTTTAATTGGACTAATGGGGAAAGCCTCTGTTATGGGACAAAATGGAACTCTGGTTTCTCTTTCCTTTGAGAGGTGCTGAACGGGTCCTGCTGCACGCATTTGATGGTTGGCCGTCCGCAGCCATGGAAGGAGTCAGGGCAGGCTACTACTTCTCAATCCCGCCGTCCATCATAAGAAGTGGACAGGTAAAGCTTTTCATCAAAGCTCACTAAACACTTTGTGTGACAGAGTTCAGAACCTAAGCTGTGTGACAAAGTTAATATTAAGTCTCTACCCAAACATATAAAAACTTAACTCAAAAAAGGATCTGAGGCTGAGCAGTGGTGGCGCACACCTTTAATCCAGCACTCAGGAGGCAGAGGCAGGTAGATCTCTGAGTTCCAGGACAGCCAGGGCTACATAGAGAAACTTTGTCTCGAAAAACAAAACAAAATAGCAACAAAAATAGTCAGAGGGCTTGAATTCTGTCCCTAACACCCATGTTGGATGGCTCACAACCAACTAATAAGTCCAGCTTCAGATGAACTGACACCCTTTTTGTGTTCACATGTAC